CGGTTCTTGGGAAGAATGGTTCAACAGATGGTAATGATACTGAACCTGATGACGGACCCCCTTCGACAACGCAGCCTCAATCATTGCCTTCCATTAGCAATGTAGCAGCTGCGACTCTACGTTATGTATCGAAGAAGAAGCTTCGTCCCGAGCAACGTGATGAGGTAGATGCCTTCTTGTTGGTGAGTACTCCTTTAACGTATCTTTTGCGCTCGTGTCTAAACATCGACCAGGACACGGTGCTTGGACGACAGGCCAAGTTATTTGCATGCATCCTGTCCTTAGAAAACAAAATCGATACTTTCCGATCAGCTGCACCACCCTACCAATTATCTGACGAGCTTAAAGTATGTGTCAATCCTGTCCCCAGTGTCTCGCAGCTAAACTGCTTTATATAATAGACCAATATCACTAACTATGGCATAGCCGTCTTGCTTTCCGTCAATGTCAGTGCTTATAAGGGCGACATCCCTCGTAACCATGTTCTTGTCCGTATTTTGTCTATTACAGGAATGTTGCAATTAATCTTCCTACAGGATATTCTCAAGAGGTATCGTTTTGATTTGCCAGCGGGCATTGAGCACGATTATGCCAACTGGGAGAAGATATCAACGTTTGTCGGTTATTCACTAACTCAAACCCGCGCCAGAGTGAAGAAATTGGTATGTGTATTAATATTATTCCTCTTTTCAATGGAGCAATGGAGCACTTACGCTTTATTGTTATACAGATTAAAGACAGTATAAAGGCAAATACCAATATATTTTCGCTTGCGCAGATGATTGTTCACTCCACGCCTTGTCGCACGACGATCCAGCTGTGCTCCCGTGTTGCGCTCATGGTAAGTGTCTTCTTGTCCTTTGTCCACAATATTGCCTTCTGAACTGGAGCAATTTTAGCGTGCGGTTCACGCCGAATGCAATGGTGGCGAAAAATTTTGGAATCTGACCGATGCATGCCTTGAATTTATCCGAACAAGAGCAGGATCCTCGGCCTCTAAAACAGCGAGGTGGGCTACCATCCCTTCATTCTTCTTCATTGATAATTAGCTGACATTCTATGCAGGGCATTCAATGAAATCCTGAAGATTGATCGAGCTACATACGGTGCGGCGGAAGAATATGTGATTGGGGATACTGTTCCCGATGAGTGGCAGCAGCGCGTTGATGATGTAGTTGCGGGGATAGATATAGTGTGATAATAACAGGGCATCGATGCGACTTCTTTTGATAAATGCACATTTTGTATGGGCCATTTTTCATGCCGGTCCCAACCTGAGAAACACTGCTCTAATAACCTAACTGACCTTGCTTAAGACAGGTGCCGAGGGCTTGAAATGTTGTAGGATTTTTGTGTTTAACAAATTGTTGAACCCCTCTGCAATAATAACTGACGGTGATTCAGGAGAGTCAGTCCTTGCTGGGTTGAATGATTAGCTACCGCCTTGTGAGTCGGCATGGCTGAAGTGCAATTTGTAACTGCAAACAATGGGCTGGAAATTGTAGCGAATGTTCGCCTTTACAGTGCATCGCACACGCCCCGGTACCAATCTGGACAACACATTCATACGGGCCAGTAGCTGAGCTGTTGAAACATATCACAAAAGCACAGTTGAGCAG